TGACATTCAGAGGCTGCGCTACAACCTTCTATAGCTGAGGATGAGGTGACAAAACATTTACTTTGCTTGGGAAGTAATGATTCTGCCACTAACAATTGAAGTTTTACATTTCAACAGGCTATTAAACAACATACTAACTTTAAATCAGTCAGGAGCAAGCCAGGTTGTCTAATTATTTAGGCTATATTATTATTATTTCAAGGCTATATAGCCTGCCATTTAATAAATAAATTGTGAAGCATTTGTGACATGCTACAGGCTTGCAAGGAGCGCTCAGCATGTCAACAACACATCAACAACATGCCTATAAATTTAGCACTTAGGCTGTTTTTACTTAGAATTAAATTAAACGAAAAATGCCTTATTAGGCTATACTGTCATTCTACAGTGCCATTGAAATCACTTTTAGAAACAAGAGTTTGGCCAGTCTTTGGTTTGGGGATCATGTGGTGAGCTATGCATGCCTAGTTTGTTAATTTAGCCTACCAGATGCTCTTACATTCCCATGCCCTAATCACAGTCAACACAAATCTACAGTTGAAGTCAGAAGTTTACATACACCTTAGCCAAATACATTTAAACTCAGTTTTTCACAATTCCTGACATTTAATCCTAGTAAAAATTCCCTGTCTTAGGTCAGTTAGGATCACCACTTTATTTTAAGAATGTGAAATGTCAGAATAATAGTAGAGAGAATGATTTATTTCAGCTTTTATTTATTTCAACACATTCCCAGTGGGTCAGAAGTTTACATACACTCAATTAGTATTTGGTAGCATTGCCTTTAAATTGTTTAACATGGATCCAACGTTTCGGGTAGCCTTCCACAAGCTTCCCACAATAAGTTGGGTGAATTTTGGCCCATTCCTCCTGACAGAGCTGGTGTAACTGAGTCAGGTTTGTAGGCCTCCTTGCTCGCACACGCTTTTTCAGTTCTGACCACAAATGTTCTATAGGATTGAGGTCAGGGCTTTGTGATGGCCATTCCATTACCTTGACTTTGTTGTCCTTAAGCCATTTTGCCACAACTTTGGAAGTATGCTTGGGTTCATTGTCCATTTGGAAGACCCATTTGCGACCAAGCTTTAACTTCCTGACTGATGTCTAGCCACATAATTTTCCTTCCTCATGATGCCATCTATTTTGTGAAGTGCACCAGTCCCTCCTGCAGCAAAGCACCCCCACAGCATGATGCTGCCACCCCCGTGCTTCACGGTTGGGATGGTGTTCTTCGGCTTGCAAGCCTACCCCCTTTTTCTTCCAAACATAACAATGGTCATTATGGCCAAACAGTTCTATTTTTATTTCATCAGACCAGAGGACATTTCTCCAAAAAGTACGATCTTTGTCCCCATGTGCAGTCGTAAACCATAGTCTGGCTTTTTAATGGCGGTTTTGGAGCAGTGGCTTCTTCCTGAGCGGCCTTTCAGGTTATGTCGATATAGGTCTTGTTTTACTGTGGATATAGATACTTTTGTACCTGTTTCCTCCAGCATCTTCACAAGGTCCTTTGCTGTTGTTCTGGGATTGATTTCCACTTTTCGCACCAAAGTACGTTCATCTCTAGGAGACAGAACGGGTCTCCTTCCTGAGCGGTATGATGGCTGCGTGGTCCCATGGTGTTTATACTTGTGTACTATTGTTTGTACAGATGAACGTGGTACCTTCAGGTGTTTGGAAATTGCTCCCAAGGATGAACCAGACTTGTGGAGGTCTACAATTTATTTCTGAGGTCTTGGCTGATTTCTTTTGATTTTCCCATGTCAAGCAAAGAGGCACTGAGTTTGAAGATAGGCCTTGAAATACATCCACAGGTACACCTCCAAGTGACTCAAATGATGTCAATTAGCCTATCAGAAGCTTCTAAAGCCATGACATCATTTTCTGGAATTTTCCAAGCTGTTTAAAGGCACAGTCAACTTAGTGTATGTAAACTTCTGACCCACTGGAATTGTGATACAGTGAATTATATGTGAAAACATTTGTCTGTAAACAATTGTTGGAAAAATTACTTGTGTCATGCACAAAGTAGATGTCCTAACCGACTTGCCAAAAGTATAGTTTGTTAACAAGAACCGACTTCAACTGTATTTTGTAACAACAATATCATGGAATAAAATAGAATAAATTAGAAAATTATAGTTCCCCCCCCCCCCCCCCCCCAAAAAAAAAGGTAAAAGTGCATACCTGATGATATGTGGCTGCTGTGTAAACAATGAATGGCATTTTCCTCGAAATCATTGATGATCAGATGCTTCAGTTGTTACTGGTTCTGTTGTGCAACATTTTTACAGTTGATAGACAACTTTAGCACTGTTCCAAACTTAGACTATCCTACAGGTACTGCAGCATGCACTCATTCGTTGTTATGCTCTGTTGTGGTATTAAAAAAGATTCTGCTTGTCTCCAGTCATGTAAAATGACTTAGAATTGCATGAAATGTGTTTATGAAAGTCTATAAGATGATAGATTCATGCAGTGCTTTTATTGTAATGGATATATTTTCACCCTTGTCCTAGATGGTCTGCGAATCCATAACCTTCTGGCTACTTTACCATGTAATGCTTACAAAACGAAGAACAGTTTCTAAAACTGCATATCTAAGGCTCTGGTCTGTCCTAGGAGTGAGGGTAAACGGTAGGCATGTCCTCTGCTATCCACTTTATGTTTTTATTATTATTATGGGTATAGGGGAGGATCACTTGCGGGTTTTCAAACGTTCAGGGAGGGTCAGGTAAAAATGTATTTTACTGAAGGGAGGGCTATCCATTTTCATTTGAGAGAGATACGATTTTCTCCAGGTATCCCTCATTGTTTATAACGTACAGTCCCTAATTACTATATTCAATCCGTAGAGCTGAAGATCCGCTTTATAGCGGATTGATTATTAAAAGTCAATGTTTCCCTCGGTCGCGGAGACAGCATTCACGGTAGGCCTAAATGCTGCATAAATTGGCTCAATCGGAAATTATCATTTTAACGCAGATCTTCCGCATTCTTCAGCGATACGGATTGAATAGAGCCAAGTAACCTTTGCCTTATGAAAGAAACACAAATAAACTATTTCGAACTTGTTTTTAAAAGAACAAAAAGGGAGTTGATATAGGCTACATTTATATTTTAGAATGCACAACAAGTAAATAATTACTATGGATAGGTTTATCATAGCCAATTAAACCTCCATTAAAATAAGGAATTGTTATTATTTTTGCCTATTAAATTAGGCTATTTCTTTATTCTAAAATATCGTGCCTAGGGCTTCACTGCTCCATAGAAACATGTCTGCCAGAGTGTTGTAACACACCAAGCCAATCAGAACAGGGTTTAAATGAGCGGCAGCCAAAGCCCTGCAATGAAACAGCACGGCTGTGTAAGAACATAGTGATGCCTTACCGCCGGCGTCAGCAGCACCGAAGCTTGTAGCGGCAGGCTAATAATGTTCCCTAGCCGACCTGTGCTTGTCCTCTCTTCTCTCCACTCCAAAACCAACTCGTTAATGTCGTAAAGGTGGATTCCAATGCTGCAGAGATAGAGAAGGTAGCGCACAGGTAAACCGTTTGATCATTTGATTGTAGGCTATGTACACTGTCAATAGAATGCAGTGCAGGACTTGTCCAAATTGGCTCAGTTACTGTGGCGCTACTGTAGCTACTGTAAAGACATGATACATGATATGCCGGCGACATAAAATAAGAAGAAGACTTTTGACAACTTTTGACAACATGACAAATCGATAGGTGTTTTACAGGTGAGAAGAATATAGCTGAATTGTAGCCTAATTTACACATAAACTAGTCTGAATAATGTATTACATCATCCAGTGTCAACGGGTTCATACTTGCAAATAGCCTGCCTTATGAGGTTCTCTAAATGATTAGATTATATTCCTGCAAGCTGATATAAGAAATTACTGAAAATTAGGGGAAGCGTTGCCATCCTTTGTCTCACACATGTTCCCCCTTTCCCTTGTCTGTGTGTGAAAACCTTTTACAGTCCAGTAAAGGTCCTTCCTTTAAAAGCACTGTCCATAGGTTAGCTAGCCTACCACGCACTTCACTTGATAGTACAGTATCTGCAGAGCTATACATATCTGATCTCTTCCCATCTGTGTCTCTGGACTTCAGCACCTGTCCTCTGCCCCCAAACCTCCCTCATCCCTTCTCTTCTCCCCACCCCTCTCTCTTCCCATCCTTCACTTCTGCCCATCCTCTCCTTTCCCTATCCCTATCCCTTGACCTCAGCCCATCCCTTGATCTCACCTCTCGCCCCTCCTCTCACCATCCCTCTCTCCCTCCTCTCTCCATCCATGTCACTCCTTGACTTTAACATACCTCTGCGAAGGCACACTAAAGTCAGGGTTCAGATAAGACAGATATTGGCACATTTCCATAGAGGATTTACCCCAGTGTTTTACCCAAAAGGTTCTCAGACTTTTCTGTTTCCATCTACGCGGGCTGGCACCTGTGTCTCACTGGGCCATGGCTCCGGTGGACCTGGGCTCACTTGGGGCCAAAGTCAGGCCACTGGTACTTTTAAGCTGCATTTACATAACAATGGCTAACTGTGAACTTTAACACCTAATCACAAAGCAACTGTTTTGGTTATTTTACATTTTAGTCACTTAGCAGACGCTCTTATCCAGAGCGACTTACATATCAGCAATTAGGGTTAAGTGCCTTGCTTAAGGGCACATCAACAGATTTTTCACCTAGTCGGCTCGGGGATTAGAACCAGCGACCTTTCGGTTACTGGCACAACGCTCTTACCCACTAAGCTACCTGCCGCCCTATGCAGAGGTTGTTGATTCTGCTCACTGTCAGCCCTAGTTATGGAAACACCATTTCCATATTCTAACATAAGGGTGAATACACTAGTGTAACACTGGTGTTACAGTCGGAAAAAGCAGCAATAGTGTCAGTGCTCTTTACGTTTGTGTGTGTGTGTGTGTGTGTGTGTGTGTGTGTGTGTGTGCACGCGCGCGTTTGCAGAACAGAGGGGCCATGACTCTGACGAGAGGGTCGTTCACCTACAGAACTGGGGAGGAGTACCATGGGGACTGGAAAGAAGGCAAGACATCTATTAACCTTCTTTCTCAAGTTTACTTCATTTTACATCTTCATATAGTAGGCACATATAGGGTGATCAATATGTATGCATCATGCTTTATACTGGTATGTAGGCCTTCATTTATGTATGATTCTCTAATCATTGTTGTCTTAAAAATATTCCTCCAAACCCTTTACACTGAAGTACAGAGGTTGTTTAATTCATGGAATCAATAATCTGAATGTAATATCCTCTTACGTAGCATCAGCCAGATATTTCCATCCACAGAGCTGTCGGATATAACATCCTTACATCCTCATTACCATCTCTAGGCAGTCCCATATGTCTCTGACTCCATGTGTGTCTTAACTAACAGTATCCTGTGTCGGTCTTCCTATGTGTCCTAACAGTCTCCTGGGGCACTGTCTTTCTAGGACAAAGGACAAGTTTGCCTTTTTTAACCAAATCTCAACTTCTGATGTAATTGGCATGTTATAGAAGTGTCCAGACACTTTTTTTGCGATTTCACTTGGTTTTGAGAAACTTACCCCACCAGCTTCCTCAGGCTCGTTCTGCAGTGATAAAACATGAACTAAGGCTCCAAAAGCACCCAAATACGTCCTTTTAGAAATGGCAACTCTCTCAGTATGGTGATGCAGGTCTTTAGATGTTGTACACACAAAATAGTTTCATTACGAACTTTATCTGCAACGTTATATTCCATTTTGTTGGACTCGATTGATACGTTACCGTATGCGAGCATGCACATTTTTTTCTACCAGCACAATGGGAATGAGATAGTATGTGCATGCCCGCACATAGTAAAGTATCGCTAGAGTCCAACAAAATGGAATATAGCGTTGCGGATAAAGTTCTATCGAAGGTGGGGAAGTTCCTCAAAAGTAAGTGAAATAGCAAAAAAAGTGTCTGGACACTTCTATAACATTCCATTTACATAAAAAAAGTGAACTTGTCCTTTAACTAAGAGCCCTGTGTGTATCAGTCTTCCTTTGTGTCTTAACTGAGAGTCCCCTGTGGAACTCTTCCTATGTGCCTTAACTAAAATAGTCCCCTGTGTATCTGTCTTCATATGTGTCTTAACTCAACTGTCCCTAGTCCCTATGTTAGTTCTGTCAGTAATTAGGGATAATCTGAGCAGAATGAATACCACTGAGAGGGTGTGGGTTGGGGGAATACTGTGAACTCAACAACCCTTTTTCTTCCTCTTGTCTTTAGTTTTTCTGTAAGGCACAGGATTAGGTTTGTAAAGATATAAACATACGTGACAAATGCAGAGAATAGTCTCCCCCATTTCCAAAAGTGTTTGATCTTATTCCTCCGACTCCACGCACACACACACACGCACACACGCACGCACGCACGCACGCACACACACACACACACACACACACACACACACACACACACACACACACACACAGTCTTGTACACACACAGTAATACCATTGATTGACATTCTTAGTCTATTAAGCCAAATCCTAACTAGCTTTCAACCCATGACCCACCACATCGAGGCCGACCTCCCGAAGCTCTGTCAAATCTCCTGGATTAGGCCTGGGGCCGTATTAGGAAACTCACTGGAAAGATCAGAGTCAACCCCTGTTGAGAAAACAGAGGTCAATCAGCAGCACAGCCAAACACATCTGCCAGGAGTAACTATAATATTCACAAGATAATATTTGAAAACTTGAGATCGATAAATCATACTTTTTGTTTAAAAGGTCAGCTCCCTCAAACAACACAGCCATGTGATATACAATGTCCACAGTTTTGATGAGCATATAATTACAATCCAAGATAAAATAATGCCAAGAGAGCAGGTTTGCAGTTTCTATATCATAACATGCACTGTTAGATGTGGAATAAATACCCTCAGTCTGCTTGGATCTGACCTGTAGATGATAAGCTAAGTACACATTCTTAGGGTCATATGGAGAGAACAGCCACATTCATTCTGTATTGGATCATACAGGCGGCAGACACATTAATTCCTTGAATTCTTTAGTGTGTGTGCGTGTATGCACGCGTGCCTGTGTGTGTGTGAGGTAGTAACAGCAGCCAGATTCTGAGGTAGGAATCCCTGTTGGAAACCAGCTGGATTAGACAAGCTTTAAGGAGGCTGTAGGCAGATGGGATCCTAATATCCTAAACCTATAGTTGGCAGAGGGAAGGAAGATTCCTAAATCCCAGTTCAAAATAGTGTATATACTGGACTTATGTGCCAAGGAGCAAATACTTTTGTCTACGGTGTAGCATGTGCTTAGATTATTCACCAATCAAGTAGCCTATTACAAGAGCATTGGGCCATGCAATATGTTTAATATTGGGCCATGCGTTATGTTTAATGTTGGGCCATGCGTTATGTTTAATATTGGGCCATGCGTTATGTTTAATATTGGGCCATGCGTTATGTTTAATATTGGGCCATGCATTATGTTTAATGTTGGGCCATGCATTATGTTTAATGTTGGGCAATGCATTATGTTTAATATTGGGCCATGCATTATGTTTAATGTGGGACATGCATTATGTTTAATGTTGGTCCATGCATTATTTTTAATAATGGGCCATGCATTATGTTTAATGTTGGGCCATGCATTATGTTTAATGTTGGGCCATGCATTATGTTTAATAATGGGCCATTCATTATGTTTAATATTGGGCCATTCATTATGTTTAATATTGGGCCATGCATTATGTTTAATAATGGGCCATGCATTATGTTTAATATTGGGCCATGCATGATGTTTAATATTGGGCCATGCATTATGTTTATTATTAGGCCATGCGTTATGTTTTATATTTTTTGATGATAAGGAAGGAAAGGAAAGAAGAAATGCTGCATTTCTAAAGTAATCTAGCAGATCATATTGTTGTATTTTCTGTCTCTGTCTATAATAACCTAAAGGATGTCTCGCTCTGTTGTGCCCTGTGCCCCCCTCAGGTCGGAGACATGGAATGGGCCAGCTAAAGTTCTCAGATGGAACCTGCTACACAGGACAGTTTGAGAACGGACTGTTCCATGGCTCGGGGGTGCTCCTCTTCCCAGAGGGATCCAGGTGTTTGAATTTATTTTATTTTGTGTGTGTGTATATACTGTATGTGTGTGTGCGCATGTACATGTATGTGTGTGTCCATCTTCTTTATTTAATATCTTATTCTTCATCGCTAGGTATGAAGGTGAGTTTTCCCAGGGGAAGTTCCAGGGAGCCGGGGTCTTCAGTCGCTTTGATGGGATGAAGTTTGAAGGAGAGTTCAAGAGTGGTTGTGTGGAGGGATATGGTACGTTCATCAAACCACAAGTCTCTAATAGGAGTAACAGTTGCAAAACAAATACAATTTATCTTGTGTCCTCCATCTTGTGTCTGTGTCTGTGTGTGTCCAGGGTTACTGACGTTTCCAAATGGGAACCATGGTGTGCCACGTAACGAGGGCCTGTTTGAGAACCATAAGCTACAGAAGAGGGAGAACTGCCCAGGGGTGGTTCAGCGGGCACAAGGAGCCGCCTCCACCGCCCGCAGTCTTGCTCTATGACCCTGCAGACACCAGAGACCAGGACACTATCTGGAGTGGCTAGCAGTTCAGCAACTAGACTCGTCTTATATCCAAAATGGTGGAACAATGGGTCTCAACCATGGCCAGGGTACAACATCCTCCTACAGGCACTCCAGGATGGACGACAGGGTTATGCACCAGGGTTGGGGTCAATTCTAAATTGAGTTGCGAATTGGTCTTTAATTCCAATTCAGTTCTTGAATTTGACTAGAATTGGAATTGGCCACACCCCGGTGGCAGGTAGCTTAGTGGTTAAGAGCGTTGTGCCAGTAACCGAAAGGTCACTGGTTCTAATCCCCGAGCCGACTAGGTGAAAAATCTGTCAATGTGCCCTTGAGCAAGGCACTTAACCCTAAGTTGCTCTGGATAAGAGCGTCTGCTAAAATGACTAAAAAAAGCAAATAAAAAAAAGCAAAATTTGAAATGAATTTGAATTAAGGGAGTAGAATGTAATTTAATGCAATTAATTGACATTCAAATGGCTGATTTATTCCACACATCACATGGCCTATACACATGTTTATTTTTACACAATGTATGGTTACTAATACTAAGTATAACATATTATAGGTTAAAACACTTCAATTTTAACAACTAATGTTCCTAAAATTGGTTTTAAATTACTACAGTTGTCTGGAAATATTCTAAGATCATTGTCTATAATAATTCATAATTCAATTACAGGTTTTTAAATATTAGAAACATTTACATTTCACAGAATGCATTGAATCAAACTAATCCCTTATGACAAAAATACAAAAAAAGACATCTGAGTTAGAATCAATAATATTTGAAATAGTATTTAAATTATTTGCAGTAATAAGTTGAATAAACTTTTGGTTAAATATATTTCAAAGGACTGAAACTTTCATGTTTTATGTTTCAGTTCAATTTAATTGAATTGGTTTGAATTACATTCTACTTCCTTTAATTCAAATGCTGCTTCCTGTGGGGTGTGGCCAATTACATTTTTAATTAAATGTTGAATTTCATGGGCTGAATTGAATTAAATTCTGAATTGATCCCAACCCTGTTATTCACCTCTCTCTCGCTGTATACTACAAACTATTTTGTGTTTTTCTGTACACTGTTATGGCTCTTCTGTACATAGTGGACTTCTGCTATAACCTCAACAAGCGACGCAAGGGGAAACTGGGATGCCTTTCATTGAGTGGAACTGTGGTTGTGTGAATTTACCCAGAATATACCTGGGATGGACATCGGCAAACTAAATGCCTGCCTGCTCTGCAAGGAGGGTCTACGGACTCCCCACAGCCTTTTGATTGTTCTCTGTGTCTGTCAGTCAGGACCATAGCAAATGTCAACAACAAAAATTGGGATTACAAGCCATCAGTGTCCAGTGTCTGAAATGTAAATAATTAGAATCGCAGCAAATACAATGTGCCTGCAATGAAACCCATAACACAATCACAGCATCTCATCTTAGAACAGGAAAACACTGCTTGATGGCAATCTTAATTCCATACTCCATCTGAAGCTTGTTCATGTCAGGAGGGTGTAATGTTACTGGACTTGACGATTGAATAATGACAGGTATGATTGTTATTCAAGTAGAATGAAAAGTATCCAAGTAAATTAGCTTTTACTTGTACTTTAATCTATGTCTTAATGAATGTGTGTGTGAGGCCATATTGTTCTTTTTTGTCTTGGCATATCTTGATATCACTGACAGGCTGCTTCCCAGTTTAGCACTCTCCTCAATTTTCTCCGGTCTTAAGTCTCAAACAAAACACTGACTGCAGATACAGGTAACAGACAAATTAATGGCAACACTTGATTAAATGAGGGATACAATGTATATTAAAAGCAGGTGCTTCCACAAAGGTGTAGTTCCTGAGTTAATTAAGCAATTGAAATCCCAGCATGCATACAAATGCTGGGCAGGCCATTATTTTGGCTACCATGGCTATGCCCCCATAGGATGACAATACCACCATCCACATGGCACAACTGGTCACTGAATCAAATCGAATCAAATAAAATTGTATTGGCCACATGCGCCGAATACAACAGGTGCAGACATTACAGTGAAATACTTACTTACAGCCCTTAACCAACAGTGCATTTATTTGTAATAAAAAAGTAGAATAAAACAACAAAAAAGTGTTGAGAAAAAAACAGCAGAAGTAAAATAAAATAACAGTAGGGAGGCTATATATACAGGGGGGTACTGGTGCCGAGTCAATGTGCGGGGGCACCGGCTAGTTGAGGTAGTTGAAGTAATATGTACATGTGGGTAGAGTTAAAGTGACTATGCATTAATAATTAACAGAGTAGCAGCAGCGTAAAAAGATGGGGTGGGGGGGCAGTGCAAATAGTCTGGGTAGCCATGATTAGCTATTCAGAGGAGTCTTATGGCTTGGGGGTAGAAGCTGTTGAGAAGTCTTTTGGACCTAGACTTGGCACTCTGGTACGGCTTGCCGTGTGGTAGCAGAGAGAACAGTCTATGACTAGGGTGGCTGGAGTCTTTGACAATTTTGAGGGCCTTCCTCTGACACCGCCTGGTATAGAGGTCCTGGATGGCAGGAAGCTTGGCCCCAGTGATGTACTGGGCCGTACGCACTACCCTCTGTAGTGCCTTACGGTCGGAGGCCAAGCAGTTGCCATACCAGGTGGTGATGCAACCAGTCAGGATGCTCTCGATGGTGCAGCTGTAGAAATTTTTGAGGATCTGAGGACCCATGCCAAATCTTTTCAGTCTCCTGAGGGGGAATAGGCTTTGTCGTGCCCTCTTCACGACTGTCTTGGTGTGTTTGGACCATGATAGTTCGTTGGTGATGTGGACACCAAGGAACTTGAAGCTCTCAACCTGTTCCACTACAGCCCCGTCGATGAGAATGGGGGCGTGCTCAGTCCTCTTTTTTTTTCATGTAGTCCACAATCATCTCCTTTGTCTTGGTCACGTTGAGGGAGAGGTTGTTATCCTGGCACCACACGGCCAGGTCTCTGACCTCCTCCCTATAGGCTGTCTCATCGTTGTCGGTGATCAGGCCTACCACTGTTGTGTCGTCGGCAAACTTAATGATGGTGTTGGAGTCGTGCCTGGCCATGCAGTCATGGGTGAACAGGGAGTACAGGAGGGGACTGAGCACGCACCCCTGAGGGGCCCCCTTGTTGAGGATCAGTGTGGCAGATGTGTTGTTACCTACCCTTACCACCTGGGGGCGGCCCGTCAGGAAGTCCAGGATCCAGTTGCAGAGGGAGGTGTTTAGTCCCAGGATCCTTAGCTTAGTGATGAGCTTTGAGGGCACTATGGTGTTGAATGCTGAGCTGTAGTCAATGAATAGCATTCTCACGTAGGTGTTCCTCTTGTCCAGGTTGGAAATGGCAGTGTGGAGTGCAATAGAGATTGCATCATCTGTGGATCTGTTGGGGCGGTATGCAAATTGGAGTGGGTCTAGGGTTTCTGGGATAATGGTGTTGATGTGAGCCATGACCAGCCTTTCAAAGCACTTCATGGCTACAGACGTCAGTGCTACGGGTCGGTAGTCATTTAGGCAGGTTATCTTAGAGTCCTTGGGCACGGGGACTATGGTGGTCTGCTTAAAACATGTTGGTATTACAGACTCAGTCAGGGACATGTTGAAAATGTCAGTGAAGACACTTGCCAGTTGGTCAGCACATGCTCGGAGTACACGTCCTGGTAATCCGTCTGGCCCTGCGGCCTTGTGAATGTTGACCTGCTTAAAAGTCTTACTCACATCGGCTACGGAGAGCGTGATCACATAGTCATCCGGAACAGCTGGTGCTCTCATGCATGCTTCAGTGTTGCTTGCCTCGAAGCGAGCATAGAAGTGGTTTAGCTCGTCTGGAAGTCTTGTGTCACTGGGCAGCTCGCGGCTGTGCTTCCCTTTGTAGTCTGTAATAGTTTTCAAGCCCTGCCACATCCGACGAGCGTCAGAGCCGGTGTAGTACGATTCAATCTTAGTCCTGTATTGACTCTTTGCCTGTTTGATGGTTCGTCGGAGGGCATAGCAGGATTTCTTATAAGCGTCCGGGTTAGAGTCCCGTTCCTTGAAAGCGACAGCTCTACCCTTTAGCTCAGTGCGGATGTTTCCTGTAATCTATGGCTTCTGGTTGGGGTATGTACGTACGGTCACTGTGGGGACGACATTTGATGAACATTCGATGCACTTATTGATGAAGCCAGTGACTGATGTGGTGTACTCCTCAATGCTATCTGAAGAATCCCGGAACATGTTCCAGTCTGTGCTAGCAAAACAGTCCTGTAGCTTAGTATCTGCGTCATCTGACCACTTTTTTATTAACCGAGTCACTGGTGCTTCCTGCTTTAGTTTTTGCTTATAAGCAGGAATCAGGAGGATAGAGTTATGGTCAGATTTGCCAAATGGAGGGCGAGGGAGAGCTTTGTATGCGTCTCTGTGTGTGGAGTAAAGGTGGTCTAGAGTTTTTTTTTCCTCTGGTTGCACATTTAACATGCTGGTAGAAATTAGGGAGAACGGATTTAAGTTTCCCTGCATTAAAGTCCCCGGCCACTAGGAGCGCTGCCTCTGGATGAGCGTTTTCCTGTTGACTTATGGCCTTATACAGCTCATTCAGTGCAATCTTAATGCCAGCATTGGTTTGTGGTGGTAAATAGACAGCTATGAAAAATATAGATGAAAACTCTCTTGGTAAATAGTGTGGTCTACAGCTTATCATAAGATACTCTACCTCAGGCGAGCAAAACCTCGAGACTTCCTTAGTATTTGATTTTGTGCACCAGCTGTTGTTTACAAATATACACAGACCACCACCCCTTGTCTTACCGGAGTCAGCCGTTCTATCCTGCCGATGTAGCGTATAGCCTGCTAGCTGTATGTTATCCATGTCGTCGTTCAGCCACGACTCGGTGAAACATAAGATATTACAGTTTTTAATGTCCCGTTGGTAGGATAACCGTAATCTTAGGTCATCCAATTTATTCTCCAATGATTGAAGATTGGCTAATAGGATTG